TCCCTTCCGCCTTGTTGCTCTTCCAGGGCTGTTAGATGTTAGTTTCTTTAGAGGCCTTCTATGTGCATGGCACAGTGCTAGATGCCAAGTTCCTTTGATTCCTCAGAGATATAATCCTCCTCTCTTTCTACCTCCATTTCCATCTCACTCTCCTGGTCCACTGTCCCCTGGGGGCTAACGATAGGGGCTCATCTAGTGTGGATGGCCTTGGAGACAGGAATAAAGGTTGCCCCTTTCAGTACCCCCAGATGACTCTCCAGGGCAAGTGTTTTCTGAGGGCTAGTTTTTGTGTGGCTCAAGGACCCAAATGAAGTTCATGAGATGAATCAAGGAATAAAAGAATCTCCCTGCTGGCTCACACTTGTTATCCTAGCTATTCAAGAGGCTGAGATCTGAGAATCAAAGTTCAAAGCCAACCAAGTTAGGAAGACTCTTACCTCCAGTTAGCCACCAAAAAGCTGGAAAGAGAGCTGTGGCTCAAGTGATAGAGTTCTGGGTTTGAGTAAAAAAAAAATGTAAGGGACAGTGCACAGGCCCAGAGTTTAGTTATAGTACTCTCTCTTTCTCCCCCTCCCCCCCCATTGGTGGGAGCCACCCAAGGCCATAATGTGCATGTTCTGTGGACAGATTATTCTTGTCCTTTCTTTTTCCCTTCATAATCTCCCCACTGTGCTTTCAACCTTCAAGGAAGCATGGTGTCACAAAGCATGCTGGACAGTCCTGGGCTTGAGCTCTGGTGCAAGTTGCTTGAGTTCCCTGAGCCATCATTTCCCCAACTCCAAAATAACCACTTCTGCATTGTAGAATTAGTTGAGAGAGTTCTCTAAGGCAAACAGCAGCTTCCTTTCCTGCCCCCCTTTTTCCTCCCTACCTTCTCACTGCCATTTTGGAGGGATTTAAAGACAAAACACTTGAGCTTCCATGGTGAAAACTGGAGCTGGATGCGAGCATAGTTGCCAAAGCTCATCTTGGGTGGGTATTTGGGAACAAACTGTTGGTTTCCTGTGAGCTCCTGGTGAGATCAAAGGTTTAGAGAAGGCTGAGGAGGTGGTTAATGGCTATGTGAACCAGCTTTCCACACATCTCTGGGCTGTTTAATACTGTTGTCTTGTGCCTGGTAAGTGATCCTTTTGCATTAAAAGAAAAAAAAATAGGGCTGGAGGGCTGGGAATGTGGCTTAGTGGTAGAGTGCTTGCCTACATGCATGAAACCAGGGTTTAATTCCTCAGTATCACATAAATAGAAAAAGCCAGAAGTGGCACTGTGGCTCAAATGGTAGAGCACTTGCCTTGAGCAAAAGAAGCTCAGGGACAGTGCTCAGGCCCTAAGTTCAAGCCCCAGGACTGCCTCCCCCACCAAAAAAAAAAAAAAAAAGATGTTAAGAGAAAGGTACTGCTGCTCATAGGGTTACAAAGCTGGTCCCAGTAGGGGACACTTTACCACCACACTTTCCTCACGGACCCCTCTTGATCCTGAAAGGCTGTATGTGTTTTGCCCCTGTTTACAATCTCCACCACTGTAGCCTCTTATTTGTTAGTCATACTCTGTGTGTGTGTGTGTGTGTGTGTGTACGCACATATGCGCTGTTACTGGGGCTGAGACTCAGGGTCTGAGTACTGTCTTTTAGTGTTTTTGCTTAAGCTTGGGGCTCTACCACTTAGGCCACACCTCTACTTCTGTCTTTTTGCTGGTTTCCAATCAGATCTTTGGATCTCATCCTCCTGTGTAGCTAGGATTACAGGCCTGAGTCACCAAGACCCAACTGGGCCTGCTAAGTGTTGATAGGCAGAGACACCTGCTGAACTGCATAAGTGACCTATGTTTGATTTTATTTGATTAGAGTTGAGAACCAACTAAGTAACTTCTTAATCCTGTGAAAGAGAGAAGAGAGGCAGTGGATATAGAGGGTCCTGGGAGGCATCCCTGTCTCTTGGCTGGTGTGTCTGAGCTGGGGTGTGTCAGTGCAGGAGCACAAATCATCAGAATATGACCAGGCGGCTGCATGAAGGAGCTAGTATTACAGATTGGCTCGGAAGGACTGGTGGGTTCAGGAATTCTAGTTTAACTGCCTCAGGCAAAGTAATGAGTCTTAGACATTTGCCCATCATCCCCACTGAATATTTTAAGCTAAATAATGCACAAAAAGAGCCAGGCAAGCAGAGCACCTGTAATCTTAGCTCAGGCCTGTAATCCTAGCTACTCAGGAGACTGAGATCTGAGAATCAAGGTTCAAAGCCATCTTGAGCAGGAAATGTCCGTGAGACTCTTATCTCCAATAAACCACTAGATAACTGGAAGTGGCACTGTGGCTCAAGTGGTAGAGTACTCGCCTTGAGCTGAAGAGCGCAAGGACAGCGCCCAAGCCCAGAGTTCAAGCCCACCACTGGCAAAAAGAAAAAAAAAAAGAGCCAGGCACTGTTGGCTCAAACCTATAATCCTAGCTATTCAAGGGGCTGAGATCTGAAAATTGTGATTCTTTTTTTGTTTGTTTGTTTATTTGGGTCCGGTCATGGGGCCTGAACTCTGGGCCTGGGCGCTGTCCCTCAGCTCTTCAGCTCAAGGCTAGCGCTCCACCACTTGAGCCACAGCCTCACTTCCGGCTTTTGGGTGTTGAATTGGATATAAGAGTTTCATGGGGCTGGGAAGGTGGCTCAGTGGTAGAGCGCTTGCCTTGTATGCTTGAGGCCCTGGGATCGATTCCTCAGCACTACATAAGCAAAAAGAAAAAAGCCAGAAGTGGTGCTGTGGCTCAGGTGGTAGAGCGCTAGCCTTGAGCTGAAGAGCTGAGGGACAGCACCCAGGCCCAGAGTTCAGGCCCCACGACCGGACCCCCACACACAAAAAAAAAAAGTTTCATGGACTTTTTTGCCTAGGCTGGCTTCAAACTGCAATCCTTAGAGCTCAGCCTCCTGAGTATCTAGGATTACAGGAATGAACTACTGGCACTCAGCTTCCAATTTTTTTTTTTTTTTTAAAGCTGATAGTTCCTTTCTGTGGAATGGCTGAAATAGTGCAGTTTGTAGAACTCAGTGTTGTATTTCCATCATCTTCTAGCTGGCACCCTGACCTCTGTGGGAAACTGAGTCTTGAGTTGTTAGGTTGTTAGTGATTAAAATCTGGTCCACAAGCAGATAGATTTCTAAGCTGAGTGCTTCTCAATTCCTGGCAACAACTGTGCTCTGAGCCTCCCCCAACCCCCAGGCATTCTCTCCCTGGAGCCCAGCTCACACTTGGGTGTTTATTTTCACATACAGTCCCGTGGCTATACTGGCATTGGTGGCTTGTTCTCATCCCCTCCCCCTTGCTAGAAGAGCCCTGGCCTGGCTGATTGGAGCTTGTGGATTTGTTTTCTCCACCTGAGTGTTGCATAGTTTCCAAGTGAGATTTCAGAATGCCTGCAAACCACTGTAATTAGTAAAACACACACACACACACTTATACACACACACACACCTTGTTTTCATCTCTGAATGACATAGAGAAAGGACCTTCTTGTGACCGGCATTGAGCTGCCACAGTAAAGAGCTGACAAAACAGAAGCTGTAGCACTGATCGCCCATTAAACAGGGCTCCAGGGTAATCGACTGTCCAGCAGGAATTACTGGCTCAAACAAAACCCCTGGGCATTAGGACCTACTGCAGTCTTTGTTGGGGGGAAGGGCGGGAGAATGGAACTCTGTCTGGTTTTGCTGACCCGACAGACATCATTCATCTTGATTATTCATTGTGCTACTTGCTGCCAGATGACACTAGATTTCTGGTGACTATAATTACATTGTAGGGTTGAACTGAACAAAACCCCACGCCCTTCCTCCTGCTTGGTTGTTTATTTCCCTGGGCTGATGGTTCCATAAGACAGGACATAAGGAGAGCCTGGTGTAGGCACTGTCAGATGGCATTTACAGAACAGAGTGCTTCCTTACACACTCGCTTCCTTACACACTCGCCTTGTACTAGATAAGCAGGGAAAACATTTGGTGGAGCTGTTTTATTTCAACTGACAGGGCATCACTTCTCCCTCAGCCCTGCCCCGCTGTTGTGACTTGGTGCTGTGAGGAGGAGGGCCTGCCTCTCAGAGCCTGCTTTGAGTAATGGAAGCCAACTGTGGGTCCCCAACATAGCTGAATAATCTTGCAGTTGGATGCTGGTGGCTCATGCCTATAATCCCAGCTACTGAGGAGGCTAAGATGTGAGAATTGTGGTTCAAAGCCACAGTAGTCTGAGAAAGTCTGTGAGATTCTTACCTCAAATTAATCACCGGAATATCAGGAAATGGAGGTATAGCTCAAGTGGTAGAGCACTAGCCTTGAGTGAAAAAGCCAAGGAACAGCACCCAGGCCCTCACTGTAAGCTCTATGACTGGCACAAAATAAAAAAGAACAGAAGTATAGGCATGTTTTTGCCCTCACCTTAGTCCATTGGACAGTTTTAATTAGACCTAACCAATTAAATAAAATCTAGGATTATATTATGATGAAAATGAACTCTTGGCTTAGGGGCCCCTAGTCTGTACCCCAGAAACAGTCTCAGGCTGTGGCAGCTCTTATAGCACTGAAGTGTTCATTGTGAAGCTTAGGGCTTCTGGTTGAGGCTTGGCTGAGACAGACCATGGCTTTGGAGTCCTTGTCCCCTCTGTCCTCACTCAGTGTCACATGGGGAACCAGGCTTGCATCTTCATACCTGTTGCACAGTGCTCTTATTTTATGATGGCTCTTGGAAAGTCAGCACCATGAGGGTCTTAGAACCTTGGGTTATGGTGTCCTATGACCACAGCGTTATTAAGCAGGAGGGGTATCCTTACATTTCCTCAACAAAAGGACCCCCTGTTGTTTTGGAAACATTACTGACAGCAGCAGTGTCTCTGGAATTAGAGGTAGTCAGCTGATGCCCAGGTATAGCACAGATGCTGAGGTCATTGCCCCCACCCCCGACGTGGAGCCCTGGCCTTCTACGCATTCTCTGCCCGTGCCCCTCTCAGCATTGTGTTCTGTTCCCTTCAGAATGGTGGTTTGGCCTGGAGTGATGATGCTGACGGAGGCCGGGGAAGAGAGATCTCACGAGATTTTGCCAAGGTCTGTAACGAGCATCTTGTGGGGTAAAGATGGGGAGCATTTGTGCAGCGGGTTCTGTCTGGCACCCAGGGAGAGGACATGAGTGGCCAGTGAGTCACATTCATAACTATTTGAATGGTTGTACAATCTCTGGTCTGAGCCTTTGTGCTGCAAGATGTAATGTTCACTGTGGTTTTGTTTTGTTGTGTTTTTTTTTTTTTTATCCCTGCCTGGGGTCTTGATTGCAGCTATATGAACTGGACAGTGATCCTGAAAGGAAAGAGTTCCTGGATGACCTCTTCATCTTCATGCAGAAGAGGGGTGAGTGTGCACTTTCCTCATGGTTCAGTTCCCTGGGTGTTTGAGTGCCTCCTGCATGAGCTCCTCACCCACCCTGGTCCACCGTGGCAGCACTGCTGATTATCCAGATACTCGAGCACCAGACTGAAGAGGGCAGAGAGAATCTAGGCAAAACATAGATTGGGTCTCGCCTTATTTTTGCCTCTCTTCAAATTAATTGGCCTGTGGAGCCACTTCAATTTGAATACACTTATTAAATCTTAGTCATACAACTGCTTTGCGAATGACAGGACACAGGCCCTCAGGTAGTTTTGGAAAGTCTGAAATCCATAGAAAAGAAGGGAGTACTGGTGCTTAAACTCAGGACCTGGGCACTATTCCTGAGGTTTTGTGTTCAAGGTTGGTGCTCTACCACTTAACTCACACTTAAGTCGTCTACTTCTGACTTTTTGTTAGCTAATTGGAGGTAAAGAGTCTCAAATCCCTGCCCAGGGATGGCTTCAAACCATGAACCTCAGTTCTCAGCCTCCTGAGTAGCTAGGATAACAGATGTGAGCCCCCAGTGCCCAGCTCCAACTTTGTTTTCTTATCCACTAGCTCTTTGACTGTTGCATTCACTGACTTGTTTGGAACATTCTTGTAGTTTAAGTGTACGATACTGGCCATCTGCTTTATCATGAACCTTCCCAGTTCTCTTCTTTTTCCCCCACTTGACCCCCAATAGCCATCTCCATCCTAGACCATAGCATGACCAAAGTGAGCCCAGCAGCTCAGCTCCGTGGCCTGAGCAGTGGGTGAGCCAGCCCTCAGGAAGCTTGGCCAGGTCCCCAGGCTCCCTACAAGGTCCAGTTCACATGGCTTCACCTTCATCACCCCATGACACAGAGAGCTGTTCCCCCAGCTTTCTCCCCAGTATGGAATTGAGTGTCAATAACTTGATTGAGAGACCCGGGAATGAAGGTCTCTTTCTTTTAGGCTCAGCTATATATGGCAGCTAAATATTTGGAGATCCCTCACTCTCTACACATTCTCACCCACCCCTACCCCCGCAGTGTCTTCTCCGCCCTCTCCCCTTTCCTTTCCTCCTACCCCCTACCCCTTTACTTTCCAAAGCCTTCTTGGTGGTGGGGCTATTACTGCCAGCTTGTGTTCCCCCTTATATCCCTCCCAGCCTCCAAGCCTGTCAAAGCAGTTTAACTGGCCCTAATTAGTTTACTCCAATGGCTATCTGGAGCTGCATGTGTTAGTATAAAAGAAAACAAGAATAGAATCCTGAAAGATAATGTGACTGGCAGCAGAGAAACTCCCTGGTTGTCGGAGAGAGAGAAATCCACTTAATACCTTGGTCTCCCCTTCCAATTACCTTTTAATTATTTACAAGCTTCACCAGCCCAGCTGGTGCAAACTCAGGCGCTGATCCCTCTCAAAGGGACTTCCATAGCAATATAGATTTTAATCAGCAGCGGAGCTCCATTGCTTTACTTTCTGCTTTATTGTTTTCCTCCCTTCCCAGAAGGAGTTTTAAAGGAAAGTAGAAGTTAGATCAGCCTGGCCAGCAGTGAAGATCAGTAATTGTTTACTGCTGCACGCCTGCTCTGAACCAGGAGCTCCTGGAGGAAAGCTGCTTGGTCCCCCACTGCTAGCACCTCCCCAGGCAGGGAAGTGCTCTGGTTGGTGTTCCTGACACTGTTTGCCAGGCAAGGAGGCCGAGCTGCTTTCAGCTTTGGGTACATCTACCTCATTGCTCCAGTTCAAAGACGGGTAGCTCTGTTGAAAGACAGCCACCCTGGGCTTGGGAGTCAGCAGCAGAGAGCCTTCGTTGCATCCTGACCAGAATCCTGGAGCTTCCAGGTTGCCATCTAGTGTGTGCTCCCGCTCCCACACCAGTGCTGGGGCCTTAACTCAGTGCCTGGGCGCTACTTTATCTTTTTCTGCTCAAGGCTCATGCTCTACCACTTGAGCCATACCTCCACTTCCAGAGTTTTGCTGGTTAATTGGAGATAAGAGTCTCTTGGACTTTCCTGCAGGGACTGGCTTCTCACCATGATCCTCAGATCTCGTCTCCTTAGTAGCTAGCTTATAGGTGTGAACACCAGCATCTGACTTTGTAGCATAGTTCTGAGTAAACCCAGAGCAGCAATAAGTGACTCCCTTGGGTTAAGTCAACTTACAGCACTCAAATCAGATATTTCACTGTTTGCTGGCATTGCCGAGGAGAGGGAGAGGTCATCTGCCGCCTCCTCCACTGCAAAGCTTCCTGCTCTTAGCACTCTGCTCGGCCCTTCCCTACAAGGTTTCCTGCTGTCAGCAGTCTGCTAGATACTCTGCTGTGTCCTCCCCTACAAGGCTTTCAGGTCTCCGCACTGTCAACATTGGGACTGGATGGTCCTTTGTTCCGGGTGCACTCCTGTGCAAGGATGTTAGTGGTATCTTTGGCTTTCTCCACTAATTGTCAATAGTGATGCTCAGAAATACATATTATAAATGGCCCCCGAGGGCCAAAATGCTGTCTGGGGAGAGGGTTAGAAAGGGGAACAAGAAACAAACTTTTGTCCTGAGGGGGAAAGAAAAATGCAAATCATTCTACCTCAGTTTAGAGTGGGCTTGTATGGAGAGAGGCGGTGGCTTCTGGCTCCCTCACTGGCACATGGGACTAAGTGCTAGGGGAGTTGGGGCTGGGCCCTGTGTGTCCGAGGCCTGAGATCACCTTCCTGGAACACTCTTATCTGCTAGTCTAAATTGGAGTGGTGGTTCAGGCCAACTGGGAGCAGATTATACTTTTAATTATGTGACTCTGCTCTCCTCACAGAATGATGAGGCCAGGGGCCCTCAGACAGGTGTGATTTGCCATTCCCAAAGTAGAGTGTCTGGACCCTTATTTTTGTGCCAGTGCAGGGCATTGAACTCAAGGCCTAAGCACTGTCCCTTAGACTTTTCACTCAAGGCTAGTACTCTGACTTCTGGCTTTTTGGCAGAGATAAGAATTTCCTGGGCTTTCCTGCCCAGGCTGGCTTGGGATTACAAACCTCAGATCTCAGCCTCCTGGGTAGCCAAAATTACAGGTGTGAGTTTCAGCCCAGCACATTGGTAAGATGGGCACCCAGCTTGTGGAAGATCTTGTTAGCAGAGACCAAGGAAAAGCCTCACAGACCTCAGAAGTAGATTGGGATTCTCAGTTCGAAAGGCCTGGTAATGCTGGCCTGGGCCGTGAGTGAGGCGAGGCAGGGCAGCTGTGACACTGAGATCAAGGAAGGCAGCACACAGCAGGCTGCCGGGATGACTGCAGCTGCAGGCGATAAAACAGCTGTGTGGTGGAGCCGGGCATAGGCAGTAACTGCTGCTTTGTGCATGCCTCTGGCTTGTTAACACATTTGGGTGAATTGAACAGATGGGCCTTTCAGCCTCTGCCCTGCTTTCCAAGGCCTCCCGGGTGACCCTAGCCCAGCCCACAGTGCCGCCTACCAGCAGAGAAGCCTGAGAAGAATGAAGTGGGTGGAGGCAATGCCCGTTCTACCCCGTCTCCTGCTGCCCTGGGGCTCAGGCTGCCGTGGGCTGGGTGTAGAGGCTTGTGTTAGACAGGGCTCTGAGCTGAAGGCAGACAGGCCCCTCTCCACAGTCTGTCTCTTTTTTTGCCAGTCCAGGGGCTTGAACTCAGAGCCTAGTCACTGTCCCTGACCTTCTTTTGCTTCTTTTTCTTGAGCCACAGCACCACTTCCGGCTTTTTGTATTTATGTGGTACTGAGGAATCTAACCCAGGGCTTCATGCATGCTAGGCAAACACACTACCACTAAGCCACATTCCTAGCTCCCTCTCAACAATCTCAAGCATATCCTCCCATTCTGATGACTATACTCTCCTTGTCTACAAAAAGAGAAGGTAGCTGGGTATACCAGTGGCTCAAGCCTGTATCTGTATCCTCACTACTCAGGATGCTTGAGATCTGAGGATCATGGTTCAAAGCCAGTCTGGGCAGGGAAGTCCTTGGGACTATTTATGTCCAATTAACTACCAAAAAGCTGGAAATGGAAAAAGCTAAGGGACAGTGCACCCGGCTCCCAGTTCAAGCTCCAGTAGCAGGAGAGAGAGAGAGAAGGTTCATCACTTAGAGCCAACTTGGAAGCTTTTGTGTTCTCTCTCACATGCTCTGTTCACGTAAACCACCCTAGAGGAACAAGAAACAGAAGAAATGCTTCTTTACCAGTGCTCTATCAAAATAATCATGCGAAAATACCCCAAGACTCTAAAAGAAAATATTTCTTTTCTTACTTTGCCGAATAATGAATTTCCTCTTGCTGACTGAAGCCACATGGAGTCACATGGTGCCCCAGAGTCTCATTTCCCCCAGAGCCATGGGGGGCACTGGTAGATTCCAGTTTTCATTCTCTCTCTGCTTACCTTTTGATGCTGCACAATACTAAGTCAAATTTTACCCTGATTTTTTAACTCACTGTGGGTGGCTCCTAAGACCTCATTCCTTCTTAAATTTTCCATTTAGTTTTCCAGGGCCCAAAGGGGAGGGACTGCTCTCTAAGTCTGATCAGCAAAGGCTATATATAAACAGTGGCATTTTTCCTTCCTGGGTGAGAAAACAAAGTGAATCTCCCTTATACAGAAGAGTGATGATGGTGACTTTGTAGCTGTTTTTCACTTGCCAGGACTGGGACTTGAAACCTCGTGCTCTCATTTGGCCTCTTTGCTCAAGGCTGCCACTCTATCCCTTGAGCCAAAGCTCCACTTCCAGCTTTTATGCTGGTTGGTTGGAGATAAAGAGTCTCCTGGACTTTGCTACCTAGCTAGCTTCGAAATGTGATTCTCTGTTCTCAGCTACCTGAGTAGTTGGGATGACAGGCAATGAGCCATCAGCTACTTGTAGTTATTTTTATCATTAACCCATACACTTTACAGGATAGAGCAAAGGTTATCACTGGCCATGTAGAGTCAGCCCTGAGGTTAAGGGACTTCCTAAAACCAGAGATTGGACTTAGCACAGGGGTCTCCTGACTCCCTCCCTGCTCTGTGC